TTATTAGCAGATTAAAGGAGGTGAAGGCAATAGGGTCCAGTTTCCAATTAGATAGTGGTCAACGCAATGGCCTAATATTTACTGAGCTCTTACTTTGTGCAAGGCATTGGGATGAGCTTTTTTACATAGTCTCTCATCTCAATTGCAAGTCATGAGAAACCTGACCAATAGTGCCTTAATCCCCAGCAGCATTTATTGTTTATTTAACAGGAAGTCTGGAGACAAGGCAAACCAGTCCTGGCTTGGCAAGATCAACAGTATTATCAAGGAAAAAGGCTCTTTCTCTCTTACGCCTTCATCCTCCCAAGTGGATTGACTTTCACTCTTAGCTTCATAAGATGGCTACCACTATGCCAGACATCACATCTGCATTAAAGACAGGAAGGAGGCAGGGGGTGAGGGGGGACACCTGGGGGCTCAGTCAGTGAAGCGACTGACTCTTGATTTCTGCTCAGGTCGTGGTCTCATGGTTTGTGAGTTCGAGCTCTGTGTCCGGCTCTGTGCTGACAGTGCAGAGCCTGCTTGGGATCCTCTCTCTCCCTTTCTCTCTGCCCCTCCCCTGCTCGCTCTCTCTCTCTCAAAATAAATAAAATAAACATTAAAAAAAATTAAGACAGGAAGGAGGGGGAAAGAATAGGTACGAAGGGAATTTCCCTTTCTTATATATGCCTTTCATTAGAAAGCAAAATTTTTCCAGAAGCCCCTTAACCTATATCCCGTCAATCTCACTGTGCAGAACTGGGGTTCACAGTTCTTCTAGCTGCAGAGGAGACTAGGAAAAGTGCATCTAGCTTTCACAGCCTCTATAGGGAGGCAAGCAAGAGGAGATTTGGAATGGATGTTAGCTTAGTCAAGCAACAGTGTCTGCCTTGTACGTATTATTTATGTCATCCTCACGATAGATGTACAAAAGGAAGACTGTAGTTATCCCCAGTCTGAAGATGAGAAAACGATAATCAAGAGACTTGCCCGAGATCGATCAGCTAATAAGTGGTTGGGCTTATAGCTTTCACCATAGAAGGCAGCCATCTAGCAAGGTGGCTAAGAAGGCAAGTCGCTGAGATAGATTGCCTTCTAGACTGAATCCAAGCTGCACCACCTTTGAGTTATATGTCTTGAGAGGTTATTTAACCTCTTTTCACCTTAGATGGCTCACCTTAATACTTATAAAGTCCCCAGAAAATTTGGCTTGGAGTAAGCACTAGAAAAGTGTTAACTAAGAAGATAGGAAGCAAGCAGCTCATTTATAACAGCCCTAAACTGGAAAGAGCCCAAATGTCTGCCACTGGAAGAGGGCATAAATAGATTGTGGTGTATTCATACAATCGAATAATATCCAGCAATGAAAAATGATGGGTTATTAAACATAAAACACAAGACAGTGTTATTACAGTGAGTGAAAGATCCAGACATAAAAGTACACACTGATTCCATGTATGTGAAGTTCAAAAGCAGACAAAACTAATATTTTGTGATAAAAATTAGAGTAAGAGTTACCGTTGGAGAGTTAAGTCTGTGAGAGGGGATGAGGGAACGTTCTGGGCTGCTAGAGAGGGTATCTTTGTCTGAGTGGTGGTTATGCCAGGAAATACACGTGTAAAAATGCATTGATTTGTACCCTTAAGGTGTGTGCATCATACCATAGGTATGTTATATTTTGATCTTAAAAGTACATAAAAAGTAAGAGAAAGAAACTATGAAGCGTATCATTTATGCTGACTGCCATTTCTGGAGGAAACTCTTAGAAAAAAACTGGTGGTAGGAAGAAGAAGGGGGCCCACCAATGTCAAGGGTTATTTGTCTTCTCTCAGAAAGATCTGCTGTCCTGTCCCTTCAGAGGAAACTTCCTCTGAGTCATTAGCCCGGTCATGGAAATATGTTTGCACTGGAGCCATGACCTCTGGGTGATCATTGGTGAACTTTAGTGGTGAGGCAAACAGGAATACAATATCTGATTGCATTTTGGGGCATTATCCTGTAATTAGCCAGATTGCCTACTAATTCACCAAGAAGAATGCCAGGATGCGTCATTCTGGGATGCCCTTGAGAACTGTCCTTTCAAAGGCAGACTGATGTGGAGCTGGCCATCTAAAGAGCTCCAGCTCTTTGTGTGGAACAAGGGGTCATGGATGGCACCCTGAACTAGGCATAACCTGGGGGAAGAAGTGGGCAAGTGCATTTAGGCTGAAAAGGCAGTGGTGACCTCCACCAGGGCTGCCTCGGCCACGGGGGCCATTTGAAACCTAAAAGAAGGTCCCCTGGGACACCTGGGTGGTGCCCTCAGTTAAGCGTCCAACTCCTGATTTTGTCTCAGGTCATGATCTCACAGTTCGTGGGTTTGAGTCTTTGGACATCCCCTTGGAGGTGTTAGATTTTCTTCTTCTTCCATCCTATTACCACCCACTGTACACGCCCATATCCCCCTCAACCACAGAACAGCCGATGAGAAGGTTCTCGCCCTCCCTACATTGTCTCTTTCTCTCCATTGCTCTATCCTGAGAAACCCCAATATGGTACTTTGGAATTTTGGGTATCTGTTGGCATCCTTGCTCAGCATAGCCTCCTCCTGGAGACAGACCACCACAACCCCCACTCAACCAAAGAGAATGAGTTTTGGGGGACATCTGACTGACCAAAGATAGATGTGGCTTCTGGGGAAAAGGAAGAAAATGTTACTTTTTTTTCTCCAGGAAGTACAACATTCTTCACAAGTGTTATTCCCTCGTTGGCATTCACAGCACCCACAGGGAGCCTGGTGATATCATTAGTCCTGATTTTATGGATAGAGAAATTGAGTCATACTCCAGGTTTGCAGGTTCTGATTCGGCGGCTGAAAAACAGAAACATTTTTCCTCTTTTTGGACTAGAATTGCATCTCATTTCCATAAACAAAACACTGAGGAGAATATGGCTTTTCTACTTCAAACAAGTGTCTTCTTAAACACAGTTTGATGGCTTTGGGGCATACACATTCTGTCTAGACATACGATAGCCTTCAAATACCATATGGTTGGATCAGACTCTGATTAGTAATGGTTTTGCAGATGTTAGATGAACCTTCTGAAGTGTTGGGTGCCCTCGGTTGGGCAATTTTTGTAAGTGTGAATGTCCCTAATGGTGACTTCACTCAAACTAAAGGACACTAGGACCTAGCTTTGATATTGAAAATTATATGTCATGTTAAGATGAGTTTTATTCTCTCTTTTCCTGTCTGTTTAACAGAAGGGTGGTCCATTCTGTAAAGAGATGGTAAGGCTGGCCTGTGTTTGGGCCAACTGATTGATTGCCAGCATTTCAAGAGCTGGTAACTCTGGTCTATATCATGCTCACAGAGGGGAAATTCCTGCAGTCTTCAAAGTGGAAACAAGCAAGCAAAAATAGCAAACGTCTGTTTCAAGACCCGTCTACAATTTCATATTAGCCAATGGTTTTTATGGAACTTACAGACAAATCAGAGGGAAAATGCATTTGTGCTATCAGGGCCCAGCCTATAAGCCAGAGAACATTTCTGTCTTTCAGAGGGTAGAGGATCCATGTTTGTACTCAATGAATATTTATTGAGTCCCTTCTCTGTGCCAGGCACTAAGACATACACACACACACGCAAAACAAGCCGCAGTCTCTATTATTAGGGCTCCCAACGGATGGAAGACAAATGTGGAGAGAAATCATGGCTCAGTGTGCTTCAATTGAAATCTGTGTGAAGTGCTGTGGCAACTTCACAGAGGAGGGGAGGCTCTGGAGTTCTCGGAATTGGGATGGGAAGAGGGGATTCAGGGTGGGAAGAACAACAAATGCAAAGGCAGAGAGGTAGACAGGAGGCAATATTTCAGATTGCCAAAATATTGTCATTTTAGGGATTGAATTCCTATTATGGGCCAGGCAGTGAGGTATACGTGGTGAGCAAATCCACTAGAGTCCCTGTTCCACATGCATTCTGGAGGCTAAAGAGGGAGGCACGCATTAAACCAAGCTTCTTGTAAGCAATTACATAGCTAACACGCGGATCGCAGTGCTCTGACGTTAAGGGACTGGGTGCTCGGAGCACATGAGAGATTGGGAGCAGGCGAGGGAGAGATGTAGCAGGAGAATCAGCGAAGGCCCTTAAGCTAACACTGGAATGATGAATAGGAGGAAGTCAGGCAGAGAAAAGAGAGAGCACTGTTTAGGCAGAAGGAATAGAATTAAGGGAAAAGCCTGGTGTGTTTTGAGGGCCTGGTGGGGCGCAAGGCTGGAGGGGCAGACTGGGATCACGGAGAGCCTTCCAGACCTTGCTGGGGATTTGAAGTTTTATCCTCAGTGGAGGGAGAAGCCAGTGTGGGCTTCCTTTCTTCCTCTCAACCGTCAGAGCGGTGTGATAGGGTCCAGCCGGCCTTTTAGGAAGCTCACCGTCGTGGCTGTCTGGCTAACCTTAGCAATCACTTAGCAGCCACGGGGCCTCTGCCAGGCAGGCCTGGCGTGATCCTCGAGACCACAGTCAAAGGCAATGCTCACGCTGACTTGGCAGCAACGGGGAAGAGCCTGACTGCGTTTTGATCGAGTTTCACTGATTGTGCCAAAGCTCTGTCACATGTTTCCTCAGGTACTTGACGAGGCAAGGGCAGGAAAGGACATGCCGGGGGTGGGGGTGGGGGATAGGCAAGCAGCACAGGTAATCAGGCTACCTGGGACTCTGGCACTGACCCAGGCTGCTGCTCACGAAGCCCGGGAAAAGGTGCCAGTTCAGGGCACTCGTTCTCCACTGGCTGCCAACGCTCCCGACTGCTGCTGACGGCCAGTCGGGCGGGGAGACGCGAACACATGTGCACAGTGTGGACTCCCTTCCCCGGAATATCCTGTGACTCCTCTCGGCACTGGGAGAACTCACCTACCCCGCCCCAGCTGTCAGCTGCCAAGTCCCTTCTCCTAGCAAGGCAAGAAACCGGGGCTGGAGCCAGACACCTTTCTTTCATCCATCCAAGTGACACAAACTAGGATATCAGTCTCTCCCATACAGCCCAATGGACGTGGACGTGAGTCCCTTTTCGATCCAACTGAGAATCTGCTCTTCTTCTGAGCATCAGCCTGCCAGCTGCTCTCGCAACGTAAAAGCCTCAAGCTGCCCACACTTCAGGAAAGACTGCCATTCGTTAGCCTACGAGGAGGAATCTCCGATCGCGTTCGGTTGGTCATCATACCCCTAGAATTCTCATGCAGGCCAAGTCTGAGAGAGTCAATCCTTGAGTCAGTCCGTTTCAGGCATGGAGGCCTGTCACTGCCAAGCAGCGCACATCGTATCTGACCACGTGGGTCGCTGTTTTTTGGAACAATGCACAATTCACCTCTAATTTAGAGATTAATGGGTTGGATTTCTTCATCCTAATTGTTCTGCCATTTTCTCAAGGAAATATTAGAACTAATTGTTTTCCTCAAGGCAAAGGGACTCTGCTTTGGGTGGGAAGGTGTACGGGGCACTGCATTACTTTAACTTACTCAACTGCCCCGTCTCCTATGGACGCCTCCTTGCTTCCTCTGTAATGGCGGTTACTACAGTACATTCTACCACTATTTTCATGTCAAGGGCATTTTGTGTGTGTGTGTGTGTGTGTGTGGAGTAGGGGGAGCTGAGGATGGAAGGTCTACTTCCAATTCTGTCCCTAAATGATTCTTTCCAGGCAACGTGGCCCAGATCCTCCTCCTAGAAGTCTGAGGTCACTGACACCACTTCCACTCTGAGTCTGTCCCCCATCTGTCAAATGAGGAGCTGTACTCATTCACCACGTAGGCCCTCTCAGCTCTAAAAAATTTTTTTTAATCTGAGAAAGTATACATCCTTATCTGTTTGACTTACTCAGTTTGGTAACCCTTGGGAAACACAAGGCCAACATGTAAGAAAGCAGAAATGATACTTCCTCAGACTCTCTCAGTGGTTCTGAACGTTGGAGTCTTAACCCCAATGTAATGGTATTTGGAGATGGGGCTTTGGGGAAGTGATCACGATTAGATGAGATCATGAGGGTGGGGCCCTCAGGATGGGATTAGTGCCTTTGTGAGAAGAGAAAGCAGGGAGCTCGCTCTCTCTCTCTCTCTCTCTCTCTCT